ATTTTTCCCCCATGCTTGGCAGCCTTTTTAGCACAATGAGAGAAAGCATGGGCAAACTGATTTCCTAACAGCCTGTCTGTCAGGCTGACTGGGAGCTGTGAAAACTTGAGGGCTGAAGTCCTTAAGAAGTCCTCTTCTTAAGATCCAGGCTCTGAAATCCTCAATCCTCACTTCCTAAGTTTTCAGGACTCTTGGGGGAGCCCTGGCTCAGCTGTGGCCGAGAGGGTTTTATAGCGTTATTCTACAGCGTTTGTCATAGTGTTATTCTACACCATTTTGTGTACATTTCCTAAAAGCTGTTTATCTTTGGGTTCTTGATACAAGAAAAGGTCTTGTTCCTACCAAGAGTTGTGTAGAGACTATGCATGTCTTAGGAGAAGCACAGCTAACAGCAGTAACAGTGAGTTACTTTGCAAGAGGAACTTGCAAAAAAAAATAAAAAAAATAAAAAATGAAAACTGAGGGCAAAACTCACAGCATTTGGTCTGGATCACATTTCAATCATCAGATAATTCACTGGTTTTCTTGTGTCCATTTCAGAGAACTTGTCTAACTTGTCATAATGGTATAGTGTCCAAACCAGTAGTGAATCCAACAGTACTCAAAATTAATGATGGAAAAAGGTTTGTCAAATCCACATCTGAATTTAGTGTGCTGCTTGCAGAAAAATCCAGGGCAGAAACCTGCCTCCTTTCTGAACTATCCTTAAGATTCTCTCCTTTCTACAATTCTTAAATTTCCTTGTTTCTACTTGCTGTTTGCATTTTACCTCACTGCAGCACCTTCCAAAATACTGGTATTCAGCATGAGTGAGTAGACTGTTACAAGGTGTTACCATGTGAGAGCTGTTGAGAATCCTTTATGCTGACCACAGCTGAACCTCAGCTCATTGGATGCTCTCACTTTTTTTTTTTTATTCCTTTATGCTGCTTTTGCAGGTGCTTTTGGAAACTGCTTTCATGCTGAAATGGCTAGTGGCAGGAAGAACACAAACTTGAGACTATGTTTATTCCAAAGCTTAAACTTACTTTTATGCTTTATGATCTATTTTTAAGCAGTCTCTGCTCAGTGCCAGGAGGTGCATGTCCTGGCATATTCTCCATTATCTGAACTTATCACTGACTGCAGAAGCATAAAAATGGTGAGTGCTGAAGTGAGACAGTGATATTCAAGAATGAATAACTATGATGTGTGTGATGCGGATACTTCTTTACAAACCGTTATTTTTGCATGCAGGATTGAGTGTGAACTCAGCATGTCCGGGGTAGTCTAACAAGGGCAAGTTGAAGTTGTCTTGCTATTGCCGAAACAGGAGTTTAACCTTTGAATATGTTTGCTGTGTGGAAGAAAACATTTCGTCTTCTCATCACTACCCCCTTTTCCTCCTACTGTTTTTTCAATCAGACCATAAACTTAGATACATCCCGGAGAAAACATACAGGGAAAAAAAAAAATTTTGTGTAGAGGTATGTAGGCAATGCCTGCTTACTTCACTGAGCCCGGGTAAGGATGTTCCAGACTGAATTTAAGTCACTTTTTAAACACAAAAAATGCTTTTAAAATCTTTTTGAATGTATTCAAGGACTTTACCTTTTTCAAAACTGAGGTACCTCTTCAGGAAGCTTTTAACCATCCTGGCTAGTTCTGCTGGCCGTCCCTGCTCTGAAGTTCTGGTGCCTGTGTCATAATCTTTTTAGTGTGAAAGTAAAGGATTTCTTTACTAGCTTATATCACTGAAATAAAAATCAACAATCAGTGAAATATTTAATAGTTAATTTTCTCAAAACCATTCTGTTTCTTGAGCCCAAAAAGGATTCTAAATTTGCACTGATAGACGTAAGATGTTTTTCCCCTCTGATTCTCTAAAGAAAAAAAATAATTAGGGGCTGCACTTGGAAGGTTGAAATGATAAGACGTGCTTGTCCTTTGAGTGGTAAATTAATTATGTTTTCAAGTCAGGCTATTGATCCTAGAACTTCAATGTAAATATATGTATGGTATATCCATGGGGCATGGCAGATGTTGCCTTATGAAGCATGTATTGAATATATATGTCAGCAAACTGTCAGATGCCTTGTAGCCTGAGGGCTTAATAACAATAATCAGTGCAAAGCTGAAACCATGTACACTGAAAGAGGGGTTTTGGAGCTTTTACATAATCTACAGCACAGTTTTTAACACAATATGAACACGTAAGGAATAAATTGCAATACTCTGTCTCACTGCTCATCTCAGAGACATTTAGCTTTTTGACTAAACAAAAGGATACAACCTCCTTCTCCACTCTGGGTGGCATCTGACAGGCTTGGGCAATATTTTCAGTAAATGTAGTTTCTGTAGCTGATTGAAAATTATTACAAAAAAGGGATTTGTGTGCTGGTGGTCAGTGCAGCATGTTTGCACCATATAGTGTCCCTTTGCACTGGTATGCTCAAATTCATTTGGAATTTTGCTTGTGTAGTCAAAATCTGTCCTGATATGTGCCTATAAAATAGGAAGAAACAAAGACCACTGTTTTCCTTGGCTAGAAAAAAAAAAAAGGAAAATCTATAGAATGTTCCCCTTTTATGTCCTTGCACTCCAAGTTCTAAGATTTATCTGCATAGATGATTTTGCTATGGAAGTGTCTCAGTATAACTAAGCACAATGTATTCTCTCCCTGATGCTTTTATTTCAATATCTTCAGTATCACTGGTTTGCACAGAACTTGTATTCAGATCAGGCTGCTGATCAATTCAATATAACTTGGCATTTTTCTCACTCACTAAAGAAGAACACTTTTGTATTTGGAATGGAATATTTGTGATGTGCATATGCATATTTCCCCAGCTGCTCCTTTGTGATCTCTAAACATTTAGATTTATGACAGTTTCATTCTTAGAATTGCTTTGGTTTTGCTACATAAAATAGAAAACGCTGTTTGCTTTCGTGGCTTTTATTGAAATACACAGAGGCAAAATGATGGTCTATTCTGCTTGTAAAGTATGCAAACAGCAAATGGCAGTGACCCCAATAATTGCCCTTGTAGCTGACAAACATACTCAGCCACACCATGGCAGAGTAGGCATGGTCTACAGGAAACAGAATGTCGCCTTAAATGTGATAATAACGTGCACTGCTAACGAACATACATTGAGCTCTAGATCCAAAATCTTGTCAGCCTCCAAAGAGGTAGTTTTATTACGATAAAAACAGTGTGCACAGGTGATGCACTAACGCTTTTTTAATGACTACAAAATTAACTTTGAAATCAAAAATTATTTATAATAATGTAACAAAACGTGTTTGTGTGGTTCTGGAAATGAGAACAAGAGTTGTCCTGAGTACTTCTGGTGCATAGTTTTTCTTGATGAGCACAAACACAAAGGCTTCCCACTGCCTTAGTGGATTTGAATTGCCTGATAAACAGCACAACAGATTCTGGATCAGGCGAGCTCGTGAATCTTGTTCTTCAATTTAAGGGCTTATTCCTGTTCTTGAGGTCTACTAAGAATCAAGTGAGGAAAACATCAGTAAGATTGATCTATGTACTGATGCTTCATTTAAAATCAATGGTGAGAAATGTTTGATTCTTTATGAAACAGCAGTGCTTCTACCTGGCCCAAAGGATATACATCCCCTCTCCAAACTAAGGCAAATTTAAAGTTGCATAGTTTATTTGCATTGTGTGGGTGAAGGCTTTGCTTGAAAAGTGTGCCAGAGAAAATCAGCAGAGGTGTCAGAGTATACTTGTTTGGGATATCTGTTCTGCACAAACTGAGGAGGCTCAAGTGCATGTGTGCGAATATTACAGAGCAGAAACCTGTGAGGCAGATGGCTGTATCTGCAAATAAGGGAGCTGTGTTAGGTCCTGACCTCACTTTAAAGACAGCACCACCTTGTGCAATGGGTTTATATTTTGTTCAGAAGAAGAGGGTATTTGATCCCATGAGTCTTCTTCCACAACATAGAAACAATATGAAATGTCTTCAACAAACACTAGCTGCTCAAGTCAAAGTGATAAAGTGACTCTGTGCAAGCAAGAATATTACAGAATGTATGAAAAAGTGGGAAAAAATTTCTCACTGAAGCCTGCTCTATAGGAAAACAAGCAGCCATTGGAAAACAAACAAACAAAAGGGAATAAAACCGAGGAAGTTCACAGTTTTGTCTATCTTATGTATATTTATGAGATCCTGAAAACAGACCAGAAAAAATACATAATTTTAATCAAACTGTAGATTATACTTTTGTTTCTAGATTTCCTTCATTAGCAGCTCTTTGTCATGAACATCATACCAACTATTAAAGGAGTATTAATTATTGTATAATTATCTTTTTAAAGGCTTTTTTAAGGTATGAAGGCACAAATCTACTAAAAATTCTCACAGGCACACTTCGTAAAGTGTTCCATATAACATTCGGTATAAATAGCAGTCCTTAACTTGATTGCTGATGTTTTTTCCAAAAAGCTTCTCATGCTTTTTTAATACTTAAATTTTTATGTGAACCTGTTTCTATTTGTAAATGTCACTGTTAGTTTGCAGACTGTTGCTGTAATACAAGTGAATTTAAGACGTTACAAACTGCCTGTATTGAGGAACTGTCTTTAATCTTATTCTGTTGGTTCTTTTCTCTGTAAAAAAAAAAAAAAAAAAAAAAAAAAATTACTTCTGCAGTAGGTAAACATAAAATGATCATGGGGAAGAGGAAATCCCACACCCAGAATACACTGGAGCAAAGTGGGATGTCTCTGCTGGCCTGTATTAATTGGAACACGAAAGGCAGCAACATGTTCTGTCATCTTTTGGTGTCTGTAGAAAAGCCATTAGCAGTGTAATTGTGCAAAACTCTTATTACCCCCCTTTTGTGAATCATACAAAAAGGACTATGTCCTTCTTCCCTGGGAGAGGTTATAGAACTTTGTGTGAAATGATGGATGCTTTCATCTTAGGGACAAGATTTACTTTTTGTTTGTTTGTTTTGAAACATAAGTGTGATGAATAAAAACAAATACAGTATGGAATTGCAAAGAATTTCAGCTGCATAATAAACTTCAAATGGTGATATTAAAGCAATGCTGAATTCAAAGTCAAGCCTACAATTAATATAAATATATATACATATATATATTGCTTTTACGATACTGAATAGTTACAAGTGATTTTCAGGGGTAAAGTGAACAAGAGGGAGAAGGCACAAGGAACCTTTGTAGCACCTTGGGTTGCTGTGTTCTCCAAAGCTCAAACTTCATCCAGAAAGAAAGGGAGAAGAAGGTAGGATGTGGTGAGGGCTGGGGGGCTGTGCTGGATGTATTCGTTCCCTCTCCTGAGAAGAGTGAATTTCTGTTCCCAGCACTCTGGGCTGACAGTGGTAAAGCTGTGCTAGCCAAGCACTGTGCTTATTACCTGGGACCCAACACTGCCCAAAAAACACACAGCTGCTTTTCCGGTCTATAGGATGCTCAAAAGTGTCCTTTGAGTCCCCCTGTACTGCATGTGCCTTGAAATGAAGCTGTGGCTCCAGGAAAACAATGTGTACAGAACTCCTGCACAGAGCTGTGCTAACAGGCATCTAGAGACTGCATCTAATGTGCTGCAAGACGCAGGATCTGTGCATTTCCTTCTTCCTGTACTTCTTCATTCTCTTGGGCTCTTTGCCATGTTCCTTCTTGCTTCCTCTCCTATGCTGTTCCTACTGAGAGATTAAGAGGCAGCCAATGAGAAATCTGGACTTTCGCATACCACTGTGGATGGTTTTCCTAGCTCCTATCTTTCTATCTCAAATCCTATTTTGTCCTGTGCTACAGTTCAGAGTATGACTGTTTGTGTCTTGAATAATGATTTCTCAATCCTCATTAGGATTAAATATTGCCAAAATATAAACAATAACTGTTTTATGACATTTTGAAGACTAAGAGAGGTTGCTGTTAAGGAAACAATTGCAGATAAATGCTCATTTGCCATTAATTAGTAAGCTTGATTGATTTTTTCTTTAGGCTTTATTTCCTGCTAGTGAATTTTTCAGCCTAATCAGTGGTGCTGGAAATGTGCTTGGAATATTCTCTGCCTGACTAATTTATAAATGATCTCCTTTTGCACTTGTCTCCCTACAATCAGCCTAATGAGACCTAATTTATCCCATAGATTATTGTCATAGCTAAAAGATCTGCTATCTTCGATCAATGACTGAAAGTACGTAGCTAAACATTTAGGAGATGGTAATGCTAGAAATGGGTCAGTAGAAAGCAGTAGGACTCTCCTGTAAATGCGTTCCTAAATGCAATGATGCGTTATCACATATTGTTGACAAATTGTCACTTGTAGAATAATACTCAGGCCAAGCTGATGTTAAAAACACTCAGCTGATGTGCCAGTGTTCTCTGTAGCAAAGGTAGATTGTTTCAGAGTTGGTCCAATGCCTGTTCCCTAGATGTTACGTCTTGTACTATTTCATTAAACTTGAAGTTTTGTGTTGTATAAACTGAGAACTGAAAGTTATCTTCTGTAGGTTGACTTTCAAGATCGTTCAGATTAAGGCGGTGGTTTGTTTCCTGCAAGGCTGCCCCACCAGCTTGGGCAGGCTTGCTGCTGAGCAGATGGCAGGACAGTGCCACAGAGTGCCCTGAGGAGCTGCTGAGCTCCCAGATGTTTGCCTCGTGACAGCTGGGTCCCTTTCTGGAGCCCCAGGCTACCAGCCTTGAGTTCTGCCAAGAGAGCCACAGGACCGCAATGAAAATGGTACCACAGCAGTGGCCTTGGATTTAAAAATTATTTCCTAAACATCCCTTCTTCTCTGTTCTATAGAATTATCGACTATTTTTCAAACAAGGGAGAAGGATATTTCTAACACAGGTTGTTTCAGTTGTGTGTTCCCAATTCACAGTCCAGCCCAATGAGCAGTGGACTGGTGAGTCACGGAGGTGTAAGGCAGGAGCGGAGAACACATCTCCATTTCTGACGCAAGTCTCCCTGTGGCTGTGGTTTCATGTTGAACAGGGTTGGCAGGGATGCTGCCCTTTGTGATGCTGCAGCCTCTCTCTCCTTTCTGTGTCCTCATGTTACCTCTGCAGTTGTGCTAGTGTGACTTGGGCAGCCACATCTAGTGAAACTGGCTAAAAAAAAATAATAAAAATAAAAATATATATTCCTACCTTTCTGAATTTCTGCCAGGTTAAGCTGTAGCCATGCAAACAATTGCCACAGTAGCACTGAAGAATTGGTACAGCAGGAAAGGAGAATAAGGGTAAAAATGTGAGAAACTGAGATGTTGCTGTCCATGGCTTAGTGATGTCAAACCACAGCTAGCAAGGGAGCATCATGATGCGTACCGCAGTCACTGTGAAATTCTTGCCTTGCCTGCTTCACCAAATAGTCACTTTTAACAAACCAGTGCCTCAAATTATTAATGAAAAGAGCTTTTAAGGGAACAGGTGTGATTGCTATGCTGCAAGTGTAAAATGTGCCACCTTTTCATGTGATCATAGTTCAGGAAATACTTCAGGGTGAAAATTTAATTCCTGGTTACTCAGGTGTAATTTCTGGTATGATCAGGCAGAAGCGGTTCAGTAAGTTAAGATGGACTAAAAATTTGAGTTCTGTTAAGTAAATTTTCAGAATGGCTTTGAAAGATATAGCAAAACAATCTGTACATATGCATCTTAAATTTGGTGTAGAATTAATGAGCTTAATTGATGTGTGTAGGAAGGCTCTCAAGTCTTCTGGTCTTCAGAGTGTAAATTTTGCATTTCAATTTGCTCCTTGTGGTTCCTGCTTATATGCCTGCTGTCCAGGCTATTGATCAGAGCATTATTACAGCAGACAACATGCAATACTAATGGAAGTTGTAGTGAAACATTATAGAATAAAACAGTATCCCAAGTACAAATTAGCTAAAAATATTCTCTTCGTCTGGAGTTTGGTCCAAAAAGAATTGTTCTCGTTAAAAGAGCACCACTTCATCTGTCTTATTTTCATACATTTTAATACATTTTCAAAGCCAACTTGCCAATACAAGAAAGCAAAAAAAAAAAAAAAAAGCCCCCAACACTTCAAGAAAATATTTATGGTGTTTTAGCTCACAACAGAGCCGGTTGTACATGACCAACCAAAGTCAAAGATGTTATCAGTGATGTTAATTCTATGCTGTGAGTCAGTCACTGGTTCCTTCCCACAGTTTCACTCCATGACGTACAAAATGGTATGTAACACCCCCTGTGTGAGCTGGGCCCTCTGGTATTTGTCTCAAAGCCTTCAACTCAACTGAATGGAAGTGTCCTTAGTGTGCATCCTTAGTCAGCTTATGGAGGATGGTGTAAGGGGAAGTTTCTTTACAGTGTCCTTGTGGTTTTTAATCAAAACTTCTTCACACAATAAGTATGGTGCCATACTTACACCAGGTCAATAAAAATCAATAAAAAAAGTATTACTTCTAGGCAGACTGCCAAATGTGCTGCAGCTTCTGCAGCTGTACAGTGGGGGTAATAGAGCAAAACTTGGCTATGCATGAAGAGCAGTCCTGGTGTTTTGTCTTATAGTTTGTTTTCAGTGGCTGTAACAAAGGTAGCAAAAGATAACCATCTATTAACTTTTTTATTTCAAAAAGTATTTTTATCCGTGATTTCCATCTGAGTTCATATTTCATGAAATGCTGTGCTCCACTCACCCCTCTACCTTTTGTGTGTGTGTCAGTAAGCTACACTCGCGCTACTGACCATTTTTTTTTCCTTGAAGTTCTTGGCTTACCTTTTCCCAAGTAATTAAGTTGTTTAATTTGGATATTTTTAACTTGACCTAAAATCAGAGAGGACTGTGTTGAATCAAAAATAGAAGCCAGAATACTCTGTAGAATTATTATTATTATTAATGCAAATTATTTCTTCTGCTCTGATAAGGCTTCAGATGTTGTCTGCATTTCCTGTGTGTGGATAAGATAAAGACTAAACAGAGAGGCTAAGAAGAGACAGATGCTGAGAACCATCACCCCTAGACAGTGCCCTGTGAGGAAAGGTTGCAGTTGAGGCTGAATTTGTCTAGACCCAAAGCAGTCTTTTGTGTGTGTGTGTCCTGAGAGTTTTTAGATAGGTGAGAGGTAAGAATTAAACTCTTCCTGCTGTGTTGCACATAATGATCAGGGTGCTTAAATTACAGCAGAAGTAGTTTATTAGACATCAGGAAAAGCTCTCAAAAAACAACAGTAAAGTGCTGAAATAACGTACCAAGTGGGGCATATACAACATGTTCTTGAAGATCTTCACCAAGTACCCAACTGGAATGGCACAGTTATTGATTTGTCCTTTATGAAGGAGACATTATATTCCCTCTCCTGCAGGGGTGGAAAAGACTAGGAACATTAAGGTTTCAGACTTAGCAAAAAGCTATCAATGACTTTCCTGTCAGAATAGCTGCAGTAAGGCAAAAACGGGAGGAATGAGTTAGGAAGAAATGGGCATTTTAACAAAATTAAGACTGCAAATGTGCAATGTGCAATTTCAGTAAGCACATATGTAACATGTTCTTGATAAAATATGTACCATAGTTTAGAGTTTGTGTACCATGAGCAGTGAACATCCATGTGGGCCTGCACCATAGAAGCAGGTCTAAGTCCTGCAGAAGTTGCATGCGTGCCAGGTTCAGCACGTTGTGGGGTTTAGTGTTACAGAACAGATACTGCAGTGTGCTACAGGCACCTGAGAACTGAATGCTGAAAAGGGAGTGGTCTCATGCAGTGTGATGTAGAGCTGTATTAATTAGGAAATGTTGTAGCAGCAAGGCTATGAAAAAAATCCTCAGAAACATGCACTTTTTTGCAGCAGTCAGAGGAAGAGCTGGCCAAAAGTACACAAAGTTTGTTAGTCTGTTGTTGATTGCTGCAGAATGACAGGTAAAGGCTTGTGCTGAACTGCCAGTGTTAGGAAAAGGCTGAGAATTCAAAGAGCAGAGGGAGCTGTGGTAATTGCTGTAGCACGTTTGCTGCATGAAGTCATTAATGACCATATCACTTTGAAATGTGATTTGCGGTCCTACTGCAACATTAACAAAATGTGTTTCACATGTCCAGATTACACTCATTTCCTTTTCTTCTTGCACACGCATTGTTTTAGGGTTAGTTTCTTTGTCTGTCCCTTTCCCAGGAAAAAAAAGGAATTTCAGAGAATGAGAGGGAGGTAGAGGTACTGGCTGCCACACTCCGTTGGCTAGTCCAGCCTGATATCATGCTCTTTCAGGTGTAGATAGGTCCCTGCTCTTTCTGTAACATCTCTTGCTCTTTGTTCAAGATCTGTTCTGACTGTTTGCTCAGTGTATGTGTGTTTATGTATTATATATAAGTAGGATTAGATGTATGTATACATATATAGGTCCTGTTCCTGAAAAGGTATTGGAGAATGGGGGAGACAGATTATTGAAAGAGCTTCTGTGAGGTTCCTAACTTTATATATATACATATATATATTATATATGTATGTATTATATACATATTAATATATAATATATATGATATATTAATATATTGGTATATATTATTATATAATATATTATTATTTACATTAAATGTATTATATATATAAAGTTAGGAACCTCACAGAAGCTCTTTCAATAATCTGTCTCCCCCATTCTCTAATAGCTTTTCAGGAACAGGACCTATATATGTATACATATATATATATTAGAAAAGTGATCATTAAGTTTTAGAAACTTTTTTTCTTTTCTTAACAAAGGCCTTTCTGTAGATTCTATATGGCTGGTTGGTTTATTTTACACATCTTTGTGCAGAAAGAAATGGAATAACCTTGTTGCAGAATAAATAGTCAACTTATTTAAAATAACCATGTAATAGCTGCCTTCAACAGTAAATCCAAGGAAAAAAAATTATTATCTGATCAAAACCTCTGTTTGCTGCCCTGTGTTGGGGATCTCAGCCCATTAGGAGAGGTCCATCAGACTTGCAAACATTAAACAGAAAATAGTATAACAGTAAGCAGTAATTTCTTCTGTGTCACAGAATCCAGTTACAGATTTTAGATGACTTACAGCAGGTTGAGTGATGCACTAAACTTGGAGCAGCTTATTGAAGTCACGGCCTGCAACTAAGGAAGAATTAAATCTTTTATACTGTACAGAAAATATTACTGGAATATATCTCTTGCAAGATGATCATTTTATGACAAACATTTCTGTTATGAAAAACATAAACATTTTACAAACATGCAACTAGATCAACAGTAGAAGATTTCAGCCTCTACTAATACAGTTTTTTCTTGTTGCCAGTTTCTTTTATAGAATATCAATGACTTTAATAGTTCTGAAGAGGTTAACAGATCTTCATTATAAAACACAAGTGATATGCAAGTTCTAGTCCAACCTTGTATATTCAAAGGTATGATGAAAGTTTTCCCTTCCTTCTGAGAGGTTTCTGATAGAATTGTATTCCAAACGATGAACTAAAACATAAATAGCTTTAGAGGATTGCAACTGATAATATTTAAATAAAGAATAGCTAGCCCAGGTATTGAGTTTACTACAGAATATTCTGAAATTAATAAACATGGAAAGAAACCTAACACTTTTTCTGCTTGGCTGGACTGTTAAAATGTCCATGCTCATACAGTGCTATATTTGCAAGTAACACAGTCAAACTTTGCTTTTTGTTTTTTAGACCAGGTTTACTTGAGTAAAATTGAATGCAGAATTGAGTTCACTAATTGTACTCATTGTTTGACTGGATTAAATTAATGATGCTGATTAGGAAAAGCAGTGTAGCAAGCTAACTAAAATGAAATTAATGTTACAATGTTTAAAAAAAAATCTCTATTAAATACTTCATGAACAATTTTAATCAGGGTATAACATTGTACAGATTCTAAGATCATGCGAGTAGCCTGCATTTTTCTTCCTTTTCTTTTGCACAGGACAAGTATAAATTGTTTCTTTTTCTTTTCTTTCTTCTGGTACAGACTATACTTGACATCCTAGTTCACTTTTTAAAAAAAATTTAAAAGCTTTATTGTGAGAGTAGTATATGGTATTGTACTGAGCAGGTGTGAAAAATAGCTGGGCCTGAGTACCAGAAATGAGTTATTTTCCATTTGGGAAAGTCCTTTGGAACTTATTAGGTCTTTGTAATAATGTCTCAGAGTTGACATGGAGACATTTCAGCAGGAAAGTGGGTAGTTTTGGACTAACACTGCCACTTTCATGTTCATTCTTGAGACAAACGCTGCTTCTGAATACATGTAATAATCCAGGATGAATGCAAGAAAGGATCTTACTTCTGCCCACAGATGTTGCACAGCTTTAAGCACATCAACAAATAGTTCAGGCTGACTAAGACAAATGTGTGCACTTATAGATGAGGACAGTGCCTTTTGTTAATGAATCTGTTTAGCACGAGAGCTGCATTTGGAAATTTGTGAGGAGGAACTGAGCAGCATAGTTTACAGAAGTTCAAACAATAAAAGCACAAAATGCAAAAACTCTAGACTCTAAAGCTGTTAATGACTTTGCTTTGCTCCAGATGAGACTTATTCTGTAAAGATTTAAATTCTATTTTCTCTTGTGACATAGTTGGCTCCTTGGGACTATTGTACCTTTGTGCCCCATGTTGCTGTACAATTGCTGAACATTTAAACTTCGACTGGTTACTAGACTGAATAAAGAAAGTCCCTGAGAGGGACATTCAATCATTATTTAAACCAGACAGTGAAAGCTATTTTGCCTTTACAGTTGTCCTTACCAGCAGTTATTTCCTTTCACACTTTCAGTACTTATTTCCTGCAATAAGCAGGGAGGAAATGCATGTAACCTCCAACATTAATAATTAGAGCACGGGTGACAAAATTTTCTATTTGGAAAAAATCACTTCAAGAACAAAATGGTAATTACTGCATGCAATCCAGAAATACCTGGACTTGATGGGCATTCTGATTTGCGAGATAACTAATTTGCTAACCACATACAGTACAGTTACAGTAACACTCTAAAATTGTTTTGTCATCATAATTACACCTTGTGCCAGCAATTCTAAGCAAAACTTGCTATTACCTTAATTGAGGAAAGAAATTAAGTGAAAAAATATCTGATCTAATGGCCCAAAAGCTACAGCAGGTGCACAGAAACTCAGGAATTAGGTCCCTGGAGCACCCAGACATGAATTCCTGATCCTGGAACACTAATGGCAAAGGCTGCCAGTTACTCCAAAGGTGCATCAGGAATAGATGCACTTGATGCTTTTGCCTCTTGTTGTAACAGGTCTTAGACTGAATTGAGCTGTGTATCGCTGTAGCTTTTGCCAAGTAGGTGCCTTTGTATAGGGCTTGGGAGTGGGGCTGGGAGGTGTCCATGCTTTCTTCCCTACCAGTGCAGGAATGAGAAGTTGTGAAGAGAAAAATGTATTAAAAGGAAAATTATGGAAACTGAAAAACTGGCAAAATTTAGGCAAACATTGAATTATAGAATATTTTCATCAACTTGAAATACAGGATGGTTCATTGAATAACATTTAAGAAATAGGTCAAGAAGCTAGCAATAAATTGGCAGGGGAGCTGTGATGTTCTTTCTGTTGCATGGTTAAAGATGACATTGCATGTCCTACAGTTGCAGAGTACCCAACACCTACTGTATTCACATTTGGAACATCTTTTTCTTTAGTAGAAAGTAACAAGCTTTCTTTTGATCCTTTCTTCTGGTGGCGTTGCCTAGATGCTTAAGGAACAAAATGCTTGTGCCAATGAGCTTTACCTGTGGGGGAGAAGGGCTGTGTCATAGCATGTAGAGCTCCCAAAAAATGCTGCACAAAGAGTAAAATATGTTTGCACTGCAAATGTGATGTAGGTCTGAAAACCACGCGAAAACATCAGTTTAGTTCTGTGACTGAAGAAATGCATCCTCTCAGGGCCACTGCAAAAGTGTGTGAAAGAATTCAAAATGCATGTGCTCTGTGCATTGTTTCACAGAAGCAGAATTGGATTGTTCTCACTGAAGTGTTTTTGGAGAGAGCTCTTTCTTCAACTTAAACAACCCTGAACTACAGATCTTATCTGTCACAGATATATATTATAAATTTAATATATAATTATTTACTATGAATTAAATGACTTTTTCATTGTTTCAAATTTTCCTTGCATGAAATCCACATGACTGTATGTGACCAGATTCAAGGCCTGGATAGCTTAAATGATTCAATATTTCACTGAATGGGAAATCCAATTATAACTTTGGGATTTATCTAGAGGCCCAAAAGAAAACAAAATTCCAAGAGACTATTTTTAAAAAATAAAAGTGCATCTTGTCCTATAAGTGCTGTCATAAAGTTATGAAGCCTGAAATATAAAGTACATTCTTGACTGGTAAATTATACTTGAATTAATTAAAAATAAATTGCTCCAGTTTGTGAAAGTTGATTAAAATAATATTCTAGTACAATAAACTAAGCGATTCTGGAGCCAAAAGTTAAGGTCCCTGGGGCCTCTAGACACATG